ACTCCACCCCGCAAGAGATTATGGGGTAGTTAAAAGATGATGATTACCAGTCCGTATCTGAATTGTGAACAAAAGGCAAATGAAGGAGTGTGTGGTCATTTCCCATGACCCGTCTTGTCCTTGGGTCAGTTTTCCAAAGCAGGACTAGAGTCCCTTTCTGGCCCAAACGGCCCTTTTGGCTTCTTTTCTGATGCAGCCTCTCTTTCTCTACGTAGTTCCTCTCCTTGGACGACATCCAGCAGGCCAGCAGAGCCAACATGGACCTGAGAGATGACCAACAACACAACGTTAGTGGCTCCACAGCTTCCTTTTGTTAGCCTCTGGATGAGGGCGGGGTGCATGAGGAAGTTTTGCGCAGCTTTTGTCTGCTCCCAGGACTACACACACACACACGCACACACCTTGGTGTGTTAACAGGTACTCCATGACGTACAACCATTTTCTTAGTGACCGTATGAAGTTAGAACGGCACTAAAAAGAAGTGACTTATGACCGTTTTTCACACTTACGACCATTGCAGCATCCCCATGGTCAGGGTTTGCGGCCTGCCGGCGGCTGACGGAGCTGGCAGCAGAGTTGGACAGTAAGGAGGTTGGGGAATGAATATATAGGTAAAGGATCAAAACGGATTTCTTCCTAATAGACAAATTAGGAACAATTTAAGGACAGTATTAAATGTTTTGGGATACTACGAAGCCCATCCGGAAAAAGAAATAGCCCTTGTATTCTTGGATGCACAGAAGGCCTTTGACAGTCTAAACTGGCAATTCCTAATTCAGCAAATTTATAATATGAATTTAGGCACTAAATTCGAAAACATCGTGACTACAATTTATGATTCACAAAAGGTGAATGGTCATCTACGGCCACCGTTGAATCCAAAATTTCTGCTGCTAAGCAAGGCAGTTAAGTCGAGCCTTGCCCCGTTTTCTGACCTTTCCTGCCACCGTTGTCAAGTGAATCGCCACAACGGTTAAGTTAGTCACAGGGTTCTTAAGTGAATCTGGCTTCTCCGTGGAGTTTGCTTGCCTGAAGATCGCCGAAGGGGATTGCGTAACCCGTGGGACTGTCATATGTCCATGCCAGTTGCCAAGCATCTGAATTTTTTTGTTTTAATATATATTTTTTATTGTTTACAACTGCAAATATACGATGGTGCTGCCGTTTGGGCGTTACATATACCACACATACGAAGATATTGCTAAACCATTAACTTTGATATTATTGGCACAGTATTTGTTTTTTGGTTCTATTCATTCTGTCTTTTTTTTCCCCTGACCTTACCTTTTTTGTAGCCCCTAATTAAACTTATTCCATGTTTCATAGTAAGCCGATTTCCCCCTTATTTTTCAACTCTGAGGTTCACCTATCTGATTCTGCCCAAGCTATGATTTTCTTTATTCTTTCTGGTGGTGCGGTTGCATTTTTCCAACATTGCACGTATATCATTCTCACCGCTGTCAAAACATGTCTAATTAAATATGCTATGTCATGTCCCTGTCGAAATGTGATTCTGAGGGGGAGGCCGAGCAGCTGACAGGGAGTGAGAATGGGGCTCCGTTGGCTGTGGAAGAAACTGGGGAAGAGCCAAGTCTGACTGGGCAGAGCAGGGGAGAGGTAGAACAAGGGAAAGGGAGTTCAGAAGAAGACCCAAGCCCACCCTTTCTTCATCCTAGGGCACGCAGAGAGGAACAGAAAAGGGAGCAACGTGAGTTGCATGGCTTACGGGGGAGGAAAGGGCCCTGATTCCCTTCATTAGCTGCAGCTGGGAACACAGTGTTTAAAAAGGGAAGCTATGCACAGCAAAGTTGCTGGAAGCAAATCGTGAGTTATCTGTTATTGTCGAGGCTTATCTGGGTTCCTGGCGTCTTCCCAACTGTGTGTGTTCTGCTGGCCTTTCAAGTCTGCAATTCCTTCTGCCCTGTCCAGTTAATTGCTACGGCGTGGTTTGTTCGGATTTTAAGTTACAGTTTGCGTGTCCCTTGTTTTGGACTGAATTTTCTACAGCCAAAGGCTGTTCCTGCTGCAGCTGCTCTTTCCTTCTAGCAGCCCTACGCACACTTCACAGGCTCCTCGGGGGACTCTTCCTCACTGCTGCCAGCCTCCACAATCTCCAAAGGCAGCGCTCCTCTACCTGATGGTCCTGGTCCCATCCCTGCATCACAGGCAGGCCTCCTCATCCGAGTCCTCGCTCTCCGAGACCTCAGCCGTCCGTACCTGCTGCCGGCGAACCACAACAATGAATAATATGTCTCAGAGTCGGCTACACCCAGGCAGTGCTGGCTTGTTAACTCCCAATAAATCCTTTTGAAGTTTGGCTCGAGACTCAGAATTTAAATGGGGGGGAATTGCCGGAATCCTGACGCTCTGCTTCCTTCTTAGACGGTGGCTGTTGTGCCCTTGACCCCAATGGCTCTGGTTCCTCCCGAAGAGTTGGACAAGAAGGACAACCCCCTCTTTAGGTAAGAGGCTCCCGCGGGGTCCTCCAGGGGCATGGGCGGGGGGAGAGGCCCCCCCCCCGTTCTCCAGCCCTGGGGCACGAGGGGTGGCATCCCCTGGCCTTCTCGCCAGCTGATCTGGGTTCGTTTCCTTGCAGCCGGAAGGGAGAGCTGCTGGCCAGCCGGAAGGACTTCCGTATGAACACCTGCACCCCCCACCACAGCGGGCTCTTCATGCTGGAGCTGGCAGGCCTCTCGCCCACCCGGTGCCAAGCAGGCAGGGACGGCGGTTGGGGCCGCGACCACCCCACCGGTACAGCCGGGGTCACCCCTGGGCACCCCAAAGGGGCGGTCCTCCTCTTAAAATTCCCTTCGTTCCTTCCACTTGGACGCCTCTTACCTTCTTATTTCAATTTATTCTATTTTACTTTTAGTTTTAATTGTTGTTGTGGTTTCGGCTTAGTTTAGCTTTGATTTCATTCTAGTGTGAGTTTTGTCTGATTTTACTTGGATTTGATCTTTTTAATTATTT